GGGTGCCGGCAGGGCTGGGAGCAGCCTGATGCTGGGCTACCACTCTACTACCAATTCCTTCATGGTAAACTTAGAGAGGCAGTGTTTTCAACTGCTGTTTGTGGGGACCTTTTGCTTATTTAAACTTTTCCTGCTGCAGAAACACCAGGAACCCTTGAGTATTTAGATGTCCCATGTCCAGGGAAGTGTCTACAAAGGGTTTGGCTTTCCAGGGAGCAGGAGCGCACAGATATGGGAGATATCTCCTCCCTTATTACCTCTCCCGACAGTCAAATCTCCTAGGGCTGCCAGATTTATTAGAGTATTTGTCTGGGCACAGACATTTAGACATCCATATGAAGGGTTTGGCCTCTTTCCATTTGCTTTGGATCCTCAGAGGATGGAGATACACACCAGTGCCTCTAGTAGTGAACTGAACAAGATCACGTGCTGCCCCGTGGACATGCTGTTAGCCCCTGCCCAACACTTACTGTAGTGCAGACTAAGCCAGCCTTTGAGAGGAAAAACAAGGGGGTTTTTTTGAAAGGACATTAAATGAGCTATGTTTCCTCACTTTAGGGACAGAAAATAGGTCCAGGACCGTTTCATTACTGGGATAGATACAGCCCTTAAGTCCAACGGCTTTAGGGGTTTATGTGGTTCATAAAATGTTCTGATTCCTGGAGAAATAAATGTAGAGTGGCTGTGAGGGGGGCTCAAAGGGCAGAGGATGGGGTCCATCAGCAGCAAGTGTCTTTGATGGTATTTTAAAGTAATGGGGCCTATTCCTTCTGCACTATGTACGCTAAACCTTGTACCACCAGTGGTAAGTGCAGTGGGACTCACTGCTCTTCTCCCTTTAAAGCATCTCTTTCTCCTCTTCTTCCCAGGAACAGCACTGTTTTGAACTCCAAAGTCATCTCTGTGACTGTGAAGCCATTACCCCGGTCTCTCCTCACCCCCTTGGAAATTGAATTCTCCCACCTGTACAATGTAAGTCTTTCCTGGGAACCTGCACCATCCCACAGCTGTGTTTGCTTCTGCGTAGCGGGAATGTGTTGGTGCAAAGAAGGACGTGCTTTTGCTGGGCTCCTGAGCTCTCTTTGCCAATGCAGGACCCTTCAATCTCCCTTAACGCAGGCTGTCGAGGCACTCGACTGCCACCCTGAGATTGGGCTGGTGCTGGTGTCCTGTTGTTGCTCACTGCCAAGGATGCGCTCTATGGGTCAGCCTTGCAAACCTTGCCTGCTCTGTGCTGTTGCTCAGGCATTGCCAATGCAGGAGGAGGGTGACAGCACTACTTGCACAGGGAACACGGGCATACTTGTCCCAGTTCACACCATTTCATCATGGACATGACCATGGGAGAAGAACTATGCACTCATTAAAAAATGGGCTATAACAATGATCTTCCCTGAGGAGGGAAA